GGCTTGTAGCAAGCTTGTCAACAAGTTGTAACAATGCTGTTATTTTATCAAGTTGCTCCAAGATTGTCACTCACAACTTGTTGACAACTTGTTGAATTGCAGGATGATAACAAGTTGTTGGAACAACTTGTAACGAGTCTGTTGAGCTCAACAACCTTGTAGCAAGCTCCAGCAAGAACTTGTCAACAGGCTGGGAACAAGCAGTGCGAACACATCCTGTTGACAAGTTGTTGGGACAGAATTGCTACAAGTCTGCTGCAGGTTTGTTGCAACTTGTGCTTGCTTATGTATGCACAGTGTAGAGTTCTCTAAATGAATGAAGTTGATAGAGCTATCCATAATAAAATACTCCTTATAGGGGGAACAAAATATGTGCGTCAATAACAAAATTCATGAACACAATACTTGCAATTCTAGCACTAGAGATTGTATAAAGTCATACAAGTACCTTGACTAAAAGTTCTTCTTTTTTATGTGCATGTTGTAAAACATCTTTAAAACGTTCTTGTTTTGCTTGGCGTTGTTTCTCCAGCTCGATTCTCGCTGCTTCTTGCCTCGCTTCAATCGTCTTGCGTTTTTCTTCTAATTTCACAGCGACTTGCTTCGTCTTCTCTTCCACACTTTCAGTGCGAACATGATGCACTTGTTTCACATGCTCCATTTCCGCCACAATTTTTTCGTGTTTTTCACTTGCGAGAATCTAAATAGCAAATCATTTCACTCGCAGACGGTCCTTTGAAACGTGACACAGGCTATATGATCATTTCACCTAATGTCATGCACTATAGTAATAATGGATGGTTCCAGGTATAGACGGAATTTTGATCTCGACAAGAGGAAGGAAACCAACACAACAGCTGGAAAGAGCATCTTAAAATGAGTAAAATTGCAAAGTTTGGTTGCGAATTTTTGTAAAATAAGGAAAATATAGGCCTGTGAACATATGTGAAGCTCGCAAAGTTTGCATTGCGCCGAAGGCGGTTATTTTTACCATAAGGCCAAAAAAAATATATGTGGGTTTCCGGTTTCTTCTTATAAAAACTTAGGTACGGTAGGTCGGTTTTAACTTTTTTTTTAACTTTTTTTTTAATTTTCCGAACAAGCGGACGCCATTTTGTTTAGTCAGTGCTTCCACATCCAAAGATACATTTCCCTAATATTGCCTCAAATTTCAATTTTCCACAAACTTTTTCCTCTAAGTGGAAACACTTACAAGCATGATATGATCCAATAAAAAAGTTTAGGGTCGGGATTTCGACGTCCAAAAGCTAGGTAGGGTCGGGAAACCGGAAACCCACATATTTTTTTTGCCTAATAATATATACAAAATTTGCGAACTTCACAGGGCTATATTAGTTTTACAACATTTAGCAACCAATCTTTGCAGTTTTGCTCATTCTAAGACGCTCTTTCTAGCTGTGGTGTTGGATTTCGTTCATCTTGCCTTGATCAAAATTTAGTCTGCAGCTGGTATCACCCATTAGGCCAAAAAAAAATATGTGGGTTTCCGGTTTCCCGACCCTACCTAGCTTTTGGACGTCGAAATCCCGACCCTAAACTTTTTTATTGGATCATGGTTGTAAGTGTTTCCACTTAGAGGAAAAAGTTTGTGGAAAATTGAAATTTGAGGCAATATTAGGGAAATTTATCTTTGTATGTGGAAGCACTGACTAAACAAAATGGCGTCCGCTTGTTCGGAAAATTAAAAAAAAGTTAAAAAAAGAAGTTAAAACCGACCTACCCTACCTAAGTTTTTATAAGAAGAAACCGGAAACCCACATATTTTTTTTTGGCCTTAATATAATTTCACAATAACAATTAAGTACAATAACCGAACCTTTCTTCTATGTGCGGCCTCAACTAACTTCTTATTAACAATTTCTTTGGTAATTTCTTTGGCAGGGGATTCGATATTTGGCTTCTTCTCTGGTTCGAGTGCTGGTTTTATCACAACTTCATACGCCAAGCCAGCTTTCACCTCTTTTGCGTTGGTTACTGGAAGATCAACTGATGCTCATAAGAATAAGGCAGGAGTTCTAGCTTGAAACTAACGTATACATGACAAGATTTAACATTTTTAATACCCGTTACCATCACATATTTTAAGAATTAAGAAGCTTTTTTGCCGATATTTGCGTCGTCCAAGCCTAAAGAAATAAGCTTGTGCAGCCAGAAATAAGCCATTGAACTGACAATCAATGACTGGATGGCATATATTCAGGGTGTCCCAAAAAACCCGAAAACTATTGAAATCACTTATCGAGGGTCCTGAAGGGGGGGGGGGGTCCCAATCCCATTTCCCACCTGAAATTTTGGCAAAATCCCAGTCCCAATTGGATTTTTATTAGAAATCCCAGTCCGAGTTATTGAAATCCCAGTCAATAAAAAACCCCTTTATTTATCGATACAATAAACCACCGTGTGTGCAAGTGGCGCACACTTTATGAAATTGGGGTGGGGGCTTGTGCCGAAGGCACAAAAAATTTTTAAATTTGAATCCCGGAAATGGCATTTGCAGCATTCTGAGACACGCATAATCAGAAAACCCAGAATTCCGGGGGCCAGAGTATGCCTGTTCGCAGGTAGTGCTGTGAATAATATAGTTAACAACAAAAATCATGACAAAAGACACCCAAAACGGATCAAAATTGTATTTTAAAATACTTAAAACGTAGAAAAATTGGGAATCGACTCGCATTACCTCAATCCCATTCCCATTTTTGAGGACTTCATTTCCCATTCCCAGTGGCCAAATCCCAGTCCCAGCAACCCAAATCCCATTTTCCCAGTCTAAAAATAGATCAATCCCAGTTCCCATTTTACCCCTTCAGGAGCCTCCTTATCAGAACACCGCGGAAAAACGTCTGCGCATGCGTCAACCTTACCTGTAATAGTATTGCGAACTTGATGAGAAGCTGTTCCGAACGTTTCCGAAGGCTCAAAATGGCGGTAAAAAGGAGTGACTTCATTGTGCGTCTTTACAGCCAGATTTCAAGCGCAAAAATAAACATGTCATTCTAAAAACTAGAAATAAATACAGCCAGAAGGTTCAAGAAATTGTATTGTACAACAACATGAACTAAAGGTGATTGTTGACAAATTTATCGTCTCAAACATTTTGTTTATCAACTAAGCAATGACAATTTCCGAATTTCGTTTGAGATACAATTCTTTAAAAAAAAACTGTGTCGCCAAATATAAAAAAATTGCGTGTTCACAATAATTAAACTTTAGGATTTATTCTACAATTTGAGTGGGTTAAGAAGCTTAACTTTTCGAGAGTTTTCTTAACTTTTGAGTTTGAATTTTTGTTTTGAATAATTTTGCAAAAATTTTCGAAGTCGTGTCCGTTAAAATCAACAATTTTTTACATGAATTCTATTTCATTCCATACTTTAAATGCCAGGACGCTTTCAATTAATGTCTAGTCTACCCATTTGCTATATTTTCTCGTTTGTTTTACTAATTTTTGACCAATTAATAAGCATGTTTTGTTTTAGAAATTGATATTCAAATTCCCCGCCATATTTTCATAATTTGGTGCATGCGCAGACGTTTTTCCGCGGTGTTCCTTATCAGTTGTTAAATTTGAATGCCCTACCAAACAGCTGGACGTAATGATGCGTAAAATATTGACAAGGCGCATGTATTAGAATTTAGTTAGGAATATCTCCTGGTGAAGTGCGCGATTTTCTGCTCCTGGGAATTAAAAACAGCTTCTTAAACAGTTTCTTTATGCATAAAATTCACTTATGTCAATCATTTATGCACTCGTGGGAACCAACAGAGCGCTAAGGCATTCAAATTCTAACAATTAAATGTTATTGCTGATTTCAATAGTTTTCGTTTTTTTTGGGACACCCTAGAGAACAGTGACCAGTGGGCTTTTCAAAACAATAATCAATATATGAAAAGACAATAGTCAAACAACATTATTAGGCGGAATTGTGCGCGCGGAGCAGAGTTTTTCTTTGTCTTTTATAATTAGTTCCACCCGAGAAATAACCTCATTAGGCTTTGTGATTACTGACTCATGTCTCATGCCTCAACCTACCGTTTTGCTAATTAGTTATTGTTAGACAAATTCAAAGAACACAGGAATTATCAGGGTTGGTATAGGTTTGCTGAATAATTAGGTCAAACACCGTCACACTAGGCCTTTGACAAGGCCTTTGTTTTGTTTTCTTTGTCTTGGCCTTTTGTTTTCTTTGTTTTCTAAACGGCACTAAAGGGTGTCCCAAAAAAAACGAAAACTATTGAAATAACGTATTCATACCCATGCCTTCTAGTTGTACTTTTTCAACATTTTGTGTGCTGTTATCACCCACATTATCTGAAGTGATTTCCTTCTCGACTGGCACTTCCATTTTATCTTCGTTGATGTGTTCTTGTGGCGTTTCTTGATCAGACCCAGACAAGACTACTGTTGCCTTGCTGTAAAGCAAAATACTACAGTTAGCGAATGGGGGGCATATGCGATGAGATATATCAAATATGCGGTAGCTAGTTTTGTATTTGGTGGCAAATAAAATGGAATATCGCGTGACCGATGTATTTTAATTCGCTCGTTCTTGTATAAAGTGTCAACATATTGTTTATTTCTGCACTACCTGAAAACGATATCTCAAACGTGGGGTTCTAGTGCATGTAGGTAGTATTGACTACAATAAGCCGTTGTTTATTTGAAAAAATATCTCAAACGTGAGGGTATATGCAGTGTACACAGTATTAGAAACTTGCTGTGGTTTCTATCGGTACTCCATGGTTCTCGTGTATACGGAAGGCCGAAACGGATGAATTTCAGCGCGGTTCCAAATTCATCCGGTAGCATGCAAAATTGGCATTCGTCAAGAAATTTGCTCAAAACAACGTTTCTTTAATGTTTTCAGGGCTTCAAACATCAACGGCATATATTTTCGTTTAAGGCATAGCAATTTTATTAGTCTGTGAGGATATTATCGAGTGTCCAAAGCATTGCAGAAATAGAAAAATATACAAGAAGCAACTGAATTGTAACAAACACCCAAAACAAGATGGCCGAATTGCGAATTATGTTATTGCAATATTCTATTTTTTTAGTTTTCTTGCCCAGTAAATTGTCAAGACAATTGCTATAATGCTTATACTTACTACAGCACAAAATATCACACACTTTTATGGAGTAAAATTAAAAAAACCCAACAATAAATTACTCAGTTTCTACAATTCGTTCCGGTTTAAAAGACCTAAACAACAGCAAAATGACTTCGCTTCGGTCAACAAAACGGCTTTAAACAAATCAGAACTACTTTATAGAACAAATTGAAACCGTGTTTTATTAAAAATAGAGTTTCTCTCAGTTGTTAATACAAGAAAATAGTCAAAATTTCACTCACCTTTGGCGTTTCCCCATGAAATTCGTTGCAAGTGGCAGACTAGCTCTTTAAAATCACGAATGCCAAAAAAATTTATAAAAGGCGCGTAATCGGTCACGTGCTAAACAACGCGCGCTGATTGGTTGAAATCTCCCAAAACACCTTCTTTTATTGTAATGAGGAAATTATTTGCGTTTTTTTAAAGTTTTATGTTTTTTATTATTCATGATTGTTCCTAACAAAGAGATGTAGTGAAGCATTGAACTAATTTGCAAAGCCCAAAAGGTAAAGTTTGTAGACAAATTGGGCTAACGTTTGTAATATAAAAAATTCACATCTTTGCATATATAAAACTCACCTGTCTATAGTTACAATTGTTATACAATTGTTCCAGTTTACAGAAAGCTTTAATGAATGAATAACTCTTATGGCACTCGTGTGATCCGGTTTTAAATTTATAACTAAGTAAAAATATACAAAAGCAAAAACATCCTGATCTACAGCACAATGCACAGTGACAAGTGTCTATTTTTGCACGACCATCAAGAAAAACCATTTCAGCTGTTTCGACTGACCTACACTGCTACAGCACAATGCACAGTGACAATTAAGTGTCTATTTTTGCACGACCATCAAGAAAAACCATTTCAGCTCAGCAATTCAGGTCATGTTTCGACTGATCTACAGCGCAATGCACAGTGACTATTTTTGCACGACCATCAAGAAAAACCATTTCAGCTCATCAATTCAGGTCGTGTTTCGACTGATCTACAGCGCAATCCACACGACCACAGTGACAAGTGTGTTAGTTGCTAAATGCACGCGATCCATCGCTGAATTTCCCTTCCTATTTTCTCTTTTCCTGTCTTCCTATTTTTGATCTCCTTTTCCGTTCAGCTTCTTCCCGAATTCATCAAGAATAACGACTTTTTTGTAAAAGACGAGACAGAATTCAGCAAGGCATTTTCATAATCGTTCAATTGAAATGTTTCGCAATCTGGAGTTGTAAAATCACCACATTTAGCCATCTCACATAAATCTTCCAACATCATTGTTCTTTCCGGGCCTAAAGGAAAACACAGCTCAAGGAATGAAAGCTCCAAAGATGCTAGTTGTATTTCAGGCTTTGTTGTAGAAAAATTGCGATAGACATGTTATGCTCTTGCACATTGAAACGTGATTGCCCATGTCACGAAACTAAATAAGTAAATTTGTATGTATGTATGTTATGTTAAAACACGCGTTATAACTTACTGTTCAAATTATATTCATTCCATTTAGTCATCCAAAAACCTCTCAGTTGAATATCTTTGAAAATAAATGCACTCTAAAGAGCAAAGGGAAACATTTTTACACAATTGTTATACTGAGTTCTAAAATAAAAATAAAATTGCGAAGTACACGAACCGTTGGAACAGTTATAGGTTTCCTAGACATTCCTCCATAAGTGACCATAGTTCCTTTTTCACTGTTAGAAATAAAACAATTTAACGCACCGCACCTGAGCCAATTTTAAATCCTCGCAAGCAGTCTGCCAAGTCAACTACATGACATTCAACTGAGATTGTCCAAACTTAAAACTTGAAATCGCCAAACCTCCACCTCTGAGTCACGAAATGCACCATTAAGCCAAACTATATATTGTTAAACATATCAATATCGTAACTAAATCATACCTTAAATATCTGATCAACTGAGTAGAACTCTTTCCACCGACACAATTAAATGCCAGTCTTGGTGGTTTATGATCCTAGATATAAATCAAATATTCACAATAATAATACTACTAATTAAATTATATATCAATTATATCAGTTGATGAGATCTGTACTGTCATAGACCGTTTGCAGAATTACTAGGGCGTTTTCAGAATTACTACACGCATAGCCTCGACTCCATTTCTATTTCTTTTGAATTTTATTCAGTCTTACATAATGTTTGAAGTTTCTGTCTGTTTTCAAAAGAACGAAGTCGAAGCTACGCATGCATGTATGTTACGTTCCAATGATTTTATAAACAATCTTTACCTTTAAAATTTCTTTAATCTTATTCGCGTTTTGAAATTCGTCTTCTGTGACTACATAAGTTGCTCCAAGAGATGTCAAATTTTCTTTTAGTTCTTCAAAGTTGTCTCTGTTTCCAAAAACAAAATCGTAGACGTAAGTAAGAGAGTTGTTTTTACTAGAGAGGTGTCTGTATTAGAGTGTTTCCTGTATTAGAGAGATGTCTGTAATAGAGAGGTATTTGTATTAGAGAGGTACCCATGTTAGAGAGATGTCTGTATTAGAGAGGTGTGTGTATTAGATAGGTGTCTGTATTAGAGAGGTGTCTGTATTAGAGAGATGTCTGCATTAGAGAGGTATCTGTATTAGAGAGATGTCTGTATTAGAGGGGTGTCTGTATTAGAGAGATGTCTATATTAGAGAGGTGCCTGTATTAGCACGGTGTTTTAACACAGTGTTATAGATTTCTTACCGATCTCTGACAACATTAAGTGAAGTAATTCCCCAGTTTGCAGAAAGCTGTATAACCGCCTGACCTACTCCACTGTTAGCGCCATTTTGAAGAATTACGTCACCTGAATGACGACACAGTGATTTGAAAGTGCATGTATCATTATAGTTTAATATAATCTTGTTCAGACTAAGTTGATTTACAGTCGAAAATGAATACATCTTTTAATACAATACTTTCATCATAAAAAGACAACTAGCATCCATGAATAACAGTATATACTTCAATATACCTGGATGCAAATATTCGAAATCTTTCAGCATCCTATAAGCAGTACAGGGATTAACAGACAACATCGCAGCAACTTCAACTGGTAGACCTTCTTTCACAGGAATCTTTAAAACGTCCTTTTCATTTAAAACTTTCTTTTCTGTCCAACAGCCTAAAATATTTTATCCCAAGGAAATTTGTTTGAATTTCATGTAAAATTACTCAGTGCAATTGTGGAGATTTTATATATTGATAACTGACAATATCTATAGAATAGTAAGGCCAGGAGTGTACAGTAACTTGGAATAGAAATCTCTGCTTTAGGAAATACCGTTATTCAATACTGCAGATTGAGAAAGAAGCTTATAGTACTGTTATAATTGGCCTGTAATTCTTTGAATTTCACTTCTGCAGTCATGAAGCCAAGAATCTTACCGAGGCCAGCACTAGCCATGAGCACCCAGTCTCCAATATTAATATTCTTCACCCCGCTACCAACAGCCAGAACTTCACCTACACCTTCATTACCACCAACTGCTGGCAGGCAAGGCTTGATGGGATATGTACCTAATGTAATGCATACCGGTATGTAAGATGAGCACTGGTAAAACAAGAATGCAGGTTTATTAATAACTTTAATTAATAACTTAAATTAGTTCTGAGCTAAATTACCTTGTACCATATTGAGATCTGCAGGATTTATGGGTGTGGCCAACATCTCTAGAAACACACTTTGCTCATCAAACTCTGGTAATTCAAAATCCTGCAAACTGATGGTTGATGGATAAACACTTTTAGGTAGAGAATGAATGATTAATTTCCTAGCTAGGGGCTCATAACAATATCTTGACTTTAAGATCCAGAACTGCATTCAGATAGAGAATAGCTGAACCCCCCAAGCAACAGACCCCAACTTGGTCACTCTTTGGAAAAGACATATATTTATCTTATGATGGAAGATATATATATTATTAATAGAGAGCTCAAGCAATAACATGACACCACAGTGGGGGGTGTGCAGTTCTCAGGTATGTGTCCTCTTGTGATGTAATCATGTAGTCAAAAGAGAAAAATGTGACGACATGAGGGGTATCAGTGACGGCCCAGACTGGAATCTTTGCTGTGCGCAGGGAAGTTCTTCTCCACGCAATTTTGATGCTTTCTATATATTTACTATTAAATTTTCGAAATCATCCCCGTGCAATTTCCAAACTTTCCAGTCATGGGTCAGGGGTATCACTTTAGATATTAAAATTTTGGGCAAATTTATTACTTAATTTCTACATTTCAAAAATAGTTGTAAATGTGGTAAAAAATTAACTGAAGTAGCTCAGGTATTAATGTACAGTAATACAGTCTACTGAACTAGCTAGCCAGTAGCAAATATCTGCTCATCTAGGGACTAGGATTGAGGATTCTACTTCTGGAGTTTTTCTACCTTATAACTTTAGCAGGGTCGCCATATTCCGTATAAACTAAACCTCTGCAAGATCGAGGTACATTTGCAACAGCAGAACAGTAAGTTCTCCATATATACGTCTTTATATGCTGCATTCCATATTTTATAAACCTGGAAGAAACCGCCATTTTGTTTCGGCTTTTGAGCGATGTGAAATAGTGTTGACTTGACAACCGAATAATGTCAATATTTACAAAATGTCACAATTTGTAAATAAACCTCTTCGATCCTGAAAATAACGTTAAATAATAAATGATCGTGCTTCAAATTATTATTTCTGGAAAGGTTTAGATCATGAATGGCTCTGTGTAGAAGCAAGAAGGAAAGATGGAAGGTACGATTGAGTTCTATAGGTATAAATGTATATAGTATACAAAATACATAGATTATTAGATTATACTTTACAGTAGATAGCAAGCCGAATGCCTAAAAGCTGTATAAACAAATAGGGTGAAAATCACTCTTGATTTTACAAAAAAAACCTTGTTGTTAATTCCAAAACTTTATATGCAACAGCCAAGCTCAGAAAAATAATTCTCCGCATTATCTTACGATTTTAATACTTCTTATATAAGAACATGCAGATTCGTTATTGGGTTACTTGGGCATATTAATACAGTAATAGCCGTGGTCCAAATAGCCCACTCAAATTTAAGATACAAAGTCCGTTCAAATGTTGCACAAATGTGTTGGATGAAAATGTTAAACATAGTTATATTGATATTTATTATGTGTTTAATATTTCTTTCAGATATTCCATCAGAGCTGAGTGAGCATAATCTGGTGAGAAAATGTGAATTTGAAAAATATATATAATTGGTGCAGCTTGCGCATATAAAATTTTTCTTATAAAATTTTAGGAGGAATTTCTTCGCAATGACAGTGCATTTGTTGACTATTTTAACACATTTCTCTCACTACCAGTATGTATTATATAACTTTGTTATTAACACATTTGCCTCATGTGCCCTACTTTTAATTATTATTTTACTCTGTCTAATGTCAGTCATTCATTTGGTCGGTTGGTCGGTCGGTCGGTTGGTTGGTCTGTCAGTCGATTGGTCAGTTGGTTGGTCAGTCAGTTGGTCAATCGGTTGGTCATTCGGTTTGTCAGTCGGTTGATCATTTGGTTTGTCATTTAGTTGGTCAGTCGGTTGGTCAGTTGGGTTGGTCAGTCAGTTAGTCAGTCAGTTTGTCATTTGGTTTGTCAGTTGGTTGGTCATTTGGTTGGTCAATCAGTTGGTTTGTCAGTCAGGTGGTCAGTCGGTTGGTCATTCGGTTTGTCAGTCGGTTGGTCATTTGGTTTGTCATTTAGTTGGTCAGTCGGTTGGTCAGTCGGGTTGGGCAGTCGGTTAGTCAGTCAGTTTGTCATTTGGTTTGTCAGTCGGTTGGTCATTCAGTTGGTCAATCAGTTGGTTTGTCAGTCAGGTGGTCAGTCGGTTGTTAGGTCAGTCGGTTGAGTAGTCATTAATTGACAGTTAATTAATTGGTTTATTGTTACTGTCTTCAGCAGTCTTGTTTTCTTATTGTTCAAATCAATGTTCTAGTGTTTCCCTGAGAGGATTTTCTACAACAAGGAGAATGACTTACTGGAACAGTTCACACAACAACTTGTCAAAGATGAAAGTGATAATGTTCAACTGAAATATGATTCATCCAGTAATAACGTACAGATCAGTTACTGTGTCACTGTCCTGGAGAGGGGAAAAGCATTGGATTGGTTGAAGAAGTACAGACTGTCTGAGTTTATTAAAAGTGGCCTCTATGCTGAGTATAATTTGTCAAAAACATTGTCATCTGCTCAGGTAATCATGTGCATGCACACATTGGATATATGTATATAGCAGTGCAGTCTGAACTTTTTAATATAGACACTGAAGGATCATCATGTGTCTGTATTAGAGAGGTGTGTCCATATTTGATAGTGTCTGTATTAGAGAGATGTTTGTAGTAGAGAGGTGTCTATGTTAGAGAGGTGTGTCCATATTTGAGAGGTGTCTGTATTAGAGAGAGGTTTGTATTAGAGAGGTGTATGTATTAGAGAAATGTCCGTATTTAAGGGAGGTGTCTGCATTTAAGAGAGGTGTCTGTATTAGAGAGGTGTCTTTATTAGAGAGGTGCCTGTACCCCTATAAGCTTCATTTTGGTAATTTAACCTTATTCAATTACTATTCTAGGCTATGTACATTGACACAATCAAGAATGATTTATCAAGAACGACCAAGCTTATAAATGATGAAAATTCAGCATCACTAAATGAAGACGGTTTCTTCTCAAGCAATAATTCTATTTTCACTATGTCTGATGAATGTAAGATAAACGCAACCAATCTAAGTCTATTCACAACTAACCACGGCTGCATTCCATTAATGTCTGCAAATCACAATTCTTGTACTTCATTGCTAGCTTGTATTATTTTTAGGCGAAGCTGGGCAAATTGAAGAAATTATAAATGATTACGTCGAAAATACAGGGGCGAGAGAAGTTCATGAAAAGAAATCAGAAAGTCCTAGAATTTTTCCTGAAAATGTTCAGTGTTTTCCATCAATAATTGTGAGTGAAATAGAAACAGAATCTGATGGCCGAGATGAGGAAAGCGAAATATCTGTTAGTGTTACTTCGGATTCAATTGAGACAGGTTTTAGCAACGAATTTAACCATAATATTACTGAAAAGAATGATTATGTCACAATGGTTGATGATTCAAATAGCAACATTGAAGGAAGTTGTGTTAAAGATGACATCATAAATGATGACGTCATAAATGATGACGTCATAATCGATGATGTTTTTTGTGTTGACGTCACAGGTGATGATGCCATAGGTGACGATGTTAGAGGTGATGATATTATGGATAATGGTGTCAGAAATGGTGATGTCACAGTTGGTGATACCATAGATAATGATATCAAATGTGATGACGTTATAGGTGATGATGTCATCGGTGATGACGTCAGAGGTGGTGATTATGGTAACGATGTAACAACTATTAATAAAAGTACCGATAATGGTTCCTGTGTAGATATAAATAATCAATCTAGTATCAAATTTATGAAATCCAACACTACAGAAGTTCAAGATGACATAGAGAATGAACAGCTACCTGCTGATGACCCACAAGTAGTAACGACAGACACAGAACTAAGTGAGACAGCGGACAATTCTGATATACAGCATCATAACAGCAGTATCTCTACACCATTGAGTGATGTCATCACTATGGACAAATTGGTAGGCACAGAGAAACGCCACGGCAAAGACCAAACTGAGTTTTGCAAGTGTTTTCACAAGAATGATACGGCTGGTAAAAAGGAGCTCCACGATAAAAATAAGGACAAAAATGGCTTTAAAGAAAAATCAAATTTATTTCACAAGAGCAAAACTGGCAAACAGTCAAAAGAACGTTATGACAGTACTGATTGTACCAGTCTGTCGAATAAGATCCAAGGTAGTTCTGGAGACACGTGGGTTGATGAGGATAGCCCTCTGGATAAAAGATTAGAAAATAGTTCATTCGATTCTAAAATACCGGTGCCATCCTTGGCATTAAACGCTGCTGAACAATGTTCATTAAATGGAGAGAATGTACAAAGTCAGTTGAATGAACCAAATAGTGATTCGTTAGGTTCTCTTGAAAACAAATCCCACACCGTTAGCACCATGCAACTAGGAACGTCATTGCAAAGTGATGTCAAAATTAATGATGGTATTAAAATAATGACTATATCAATAGATCACACTGACGGAAACATTGATGACGATACGATATCACAGGAAACTAAAAATACTGTTAGAGGTAGTAATTTAGAAAGTTTATCGTCGAACATTGATCTTTCAAAGGTGGAAGATCAAACCTCATACCACTCTTCTGATGTAAATCTTCCAAAGACGGAAGATCAAATCTCATATAATGCAGACAGTAATGTTGGCGAGAAAAAATTGCCACAAAAATCTACAAATACTGCTACGGTCGAGAATTTACAACTATTGTATGATGTGAGAATTTTGGAAGTGGATGATTCTGCTTCAAATATTTCAGAAAATAAAAGCGAACATCATTCTTTGGATAGATCCTTAATGAAACGTACGAGCTCTTTAAATTCTATCGCAAGTAGCGATGTTTCAGAAAATGAAAGAAAATCAAGTATTGCGGACCAGCAAGGAGAAGAGAATCAAGAGATGTTGGATAATGGCGTTCACTTGTCGTCCAAGGCCGGGATGGATAAATTTAAAGAGTTTCTTATCAATACTAAAGGTGAAGCTTTGTTGTTGTTTTGGATTCACGTCGAAACGTGGAAACATCTTGGAGATAATGGCGATAAAATAAGGTATTTAAAAATATAAACTTGTGTCAGAATGAGTAAGTTTTTTAGTCATGTTTTCTGATGGTGGGCAAACCAGAAAACATTGTTTCCTAGCCACGTTTCCTGAAGGTGGACAAACTAGAAAACATTGTTTGCTAGCTACAGTATGTTTCCCAAAAGTGGGCAAACCAGGCATTTTTCCTAGCCATGTTTTCCGAAGGTGGGCAAACTAGGGAGTTTGAAAGAAACAATGTTTCCTGGTTTGTTCACCTTCAGGAAACATGGCTAGGAAACAATTAATGTTTCCTGGTTAGCTGCGGACCCACGGTAGCGTGTGAAGACTATTATATTTGTGTGGTAAACTATGATTCTGAATCAATATAGATTACTTCAAGAAATGAAGGAGCAATTTCTTCGAAATGGTTCGCCACTAGAGCTACCAGACGAAATAAAGAAACAAGCGGGAAGATGTTTCACAGCTGACTTGAGTAAAACACAGAGAATTATTGCCGAACCGTTACGTTGTTATTGGTGAGAATATCTTGCAAAACGTTTTTGTTTTACTTGGAGTCTTAGAAAAAACGTTCAACACAGAGTCAGAGTCTTTGTTGTTTCCTCTCTTTTTCTGCTGTTCTCTCTGTCTTTGATTCTTTCCATTCCACCCTCTTTTCTCTTCAAAAAACCACCAGTAACCTCAACGTTTTTATTGTTTTAGGTGTCCTAGATTCACCTTGCACCAGTTCAAAACACAAACCACAGACAAAATTCAGCATGAAGCCAAAGTTGGACAACAAACTTGGTCGTCTGGTTTCCAACCAAAATCTGGTGTCCTTATGTATCCCAGTACAAGCCCGCACCTTGTCAGACCACACTCGAGTACTCCACGTGAGTATCTACCTGCGAGTCCTCCACGCGAGACTTCACACGCGAGTTCTCCACGCGTGACTTCACACGCGAGGTCTCCACGCGAGACTTTACACGCGCATACTCCTCGAGAGACGCTGAAAGAAGGCAAGTTTCACGTGAGATCAAAGTCTGCGCACGGTCGAATAGTGACCACGCCTTGTCACACGAACGCTGGTAAAAAGCAACTCGAGGTGAGAATACTACAATTTCAACACGAATGCGACCAAATGTAAATTACTTCATTTATAACTAGATATCTTTATCAGTTCTAAACTGTTCTCCCTGGAGGCCCAGCAAGGATCATCCCCTATTGGTCTAGTGTTACTGCTGGAGGAAACCTAAACTAAACTAACTTTATTTGTACTGGATAGCTCTATCAGTTCTAAACTGTTCTCCCTAGAGATTCAGTAAGGATCATCTCTTATAGACCCAGTGTTACTGCTGAACGAAACCTAAACTAAACTAACTTATTTATACTGGATAGCTCCATCAGTTCTAAACTGTTCTGCCTGGAGGGCCAGTAAGGATCATCTCTTATTGGTCCAGTATTAGAACCCCCCTCGTTTCGGAATGGCCCTGTGTGTAGCCATTCACATTATTATCATATGTCAACTTTTTTACCTTCAGATTTACGCGACGCCTCAACCCGCAGAATTTGGTTTTCAGAAACGTCCTATTAGTGCATTTCCACCTTGCAATGATCAAGAATATCTTTCATCTGTCAGATTGATTATCAGCCCTCGATGTAAACCAAAAATACGCGCTGCCTGGCCACAAAGGTAGGAATACAGTTGGGAACAGGGCGGTTGGGAACAAACAGTGCAAAAACGTCCTGTTGACAAGTTGTTGGAACAGCATTGCTATAAACCTGCTGCAGGTTTGTTACAACTTGTGCGTTTACAACTCATTTACTAATATTTTATTTCTAATTTAGGCCAGAGAAAGATAGATATATTAATGACGCGTACCGTAGCAACACGTCTGACAGCAGTCACCAAGATTTGTTGGTTGACAGCTTGATGTATCGAAATGAATCTGGATGTTTCTTTAAAGAATTTGTTTCTAAGCAAAATAACCAAGTATGTTTTCCAAACAGCTTTATTTCAGTTTTATTTAGGGCTCAAGTCCTCTTGCATATCGTCTTCATGTAACTTCATCACCCTTCATAAGTCAAATCCCTGCAAAAATGAAATTTTCATCTTTTGAGCTCTGTACATGTTTGAGAAATGTCGTTTCTTGTACTTTAGTTGTGGTCGAACTGTTTATCATTTTCTCAAGCTGTTATGGACTACACCGCGTTCTTTGATGGTGACACACTGAATCCAGCAACTGTTTCGAGAAAAGCACAGGTGCGTATATAATATGTACGCCAGTGCCATTGGCCCTACAGAAGAAGAACTAAGATTGACATTTATTTCTACGGCGCAAATTTAAGGCCCATGTCCACTCAAAAAAAATTTCCACGGACAGAAAATCTTCCGAAAATATCATTGTTAAAAGTTGAAAATTTTCAACTGCAAAATTTTTTTCCGACGGAAAATTTGTGTCGGCCAATCAAATTTTACAACACTTTCTTTCTGCGGAAAATTTTCCTGAGTGGAAATGGGCCTTTACATGTAGTATGGTCGAATACTGGGGCGAGATCCCTCTGGAGTGCCTGAAGAAAACCTGAGGTGTCTAGAAGAGCAAAACTGGGAATATTCCTCTTGCGTTCAAAAATAGTTCAAATATACATTATTTAATAAATTCTCATATTGTTCTAGTGGATTTATGCGCGGTTTATAACGTCGGGCAGTATTTGTGACATCAAACTGGATTGGAAAACTCAAGAAGATATTCGGCAGAAGCTGGATCCACCTTATGAAGAACTATTTGACTGTGTTGAAGATCACGTGTTGGCGTGCCTTAAAGAACCATGGGATAGCCTATGTGGCAATGAACGACGGGAATATGAGATGGTAAGCGCGGATTGGTGATTCTCAATAAGCACTATCGTGCATGTAGCAGCTGACGATCGATCAGCAGTTTTCAGTGTGAGAAAATCATGTTGTTTCTTTATTTAGCTTTTTATTTGGCCGATGGAAATAAATAGAAATGGGAGATGTAGTAACCGGTCACTGTTTTATAGCAGACACCTCGTAAATGCCAAGGGAAAGGCCCTTGCACGTAACTGTGTGAATCCAAATTAAATTTGCTTTTGTTTACAGATTCCTAAGAAGGAAACAGTTCGTTATCTTAAAGTGAAATTAAAGCGGACGCGAGGAAGCAGTAAAAATTCATTTTTACAAGAAGAGGCAAGTCGAGGGATTGAAATACTGCATAACTCTAACAGTTCTAAACTGTTCTTCCTAGAGGTCCAGTAGGAGTCATCTCTTATTAATCCAGTGTCACTACAGGAGGAAACCTAAACTAAAGTAACTTTATTTATACTGGATAGCTCTATCAGTTCTAAACTGTTCTTCCTAGAGGTCCGGTGGGAGTCATCTCTTATTGATCCAGTGTTACTACAGGAGGAAACCTGAACTAAACTACCTTTATTTATACTGGATAGCTTTATCAGTTCTAAACTGTTGCATAGCTCCATCAAGTCTAAACTGTATTTTTATCTGAACAGTTGGAAAGCGATGATGGCAGAGAACATTCAGAGCGTGGCAAGTACAGTATAGAAGAGGCAAATCATCCTCAACCCTTGTCTTCAGATGGAGTGAGTTTTGAAAGTTTGATTAAAGACAGAGATGAACTCGAAGGATTTCAGAAATACTTGGAAAAGAAAGATCCAAAAGGTATTTCCTAAAATATCCCTGCTTATATGGCCCTGCTTGTATGAACAGCCTCTCAAATTTAGCTCTTAGCTGGAAAGATTATTCTCGTTCAGAAAGGCAAACAACACCAAGAACACACTATGCGCTTTAGGGAGTACAGATAAGCTTTGCCCAATAACTGACCCAGCTGGTAGAAAAGAGAAAAGCTCATTTAAATTTTCTGTCAATAATTTTTCTCCGCGCAGGTGTGATCGATCTGATGGCTTGGACTGACATGGAGACGTTTCAACGAATACCAAGAACAATCGAAGATAAGAGGAACAAGAAAGCAAAGGAGATTCGTCAAACGTATTTAAACTCGAGATATTTCTTTGGACCTGATAGCCCAGCCACAAAAGAAGCTCAAAATTTGGTGAGACTCCCCACCCCCACTCTAGTTTGAGTAACTGAATGCAAAGCCCGCTCGTAGACTGGATGGAGTGTTGAACTGTTGGGTCGTAAATGCAAGTTGTTCAAAGGATTGCATTCATTTACTTACGACTGAGTAGCGAGCGAAAACATGTCTGATATTAAGCCTGGTTGCCGTGAACTATAAACTTCAAATAGGAGCACATTCTCCATTTGTTGAAAACATCAAGATGTGTGTGCCTGAGTTATTAGAATTACTTATTGTGTTTTTTTTTCCTCTCTAGATCTTATCGGTGAATGGTTCACCTCGAATTAAAGAGAGACCGTCTTCTTCCGTGATCTTAGAAAGTCAGAAATACGTGCGCTGTCGTATTGAGAGGCGCTGGCTGGCGTTGTATAAAGCAAGTCAGGAGTACAAAGAAAGACAGAATCCGAAGCAAAATGTCTCTGAAGTTGTGGAAGATATTATGTTGAGACGAAGGCTACAAAGAAGCGAGGCTGCTTGGAGGGTAAGGCATTGTTACGTTTGCTTCGCGTGTACAACACAAATGCTTGAGCGAAAACAAAATAATATAAGAAGAAGAGATTTCGGTGTATTTCCTATAACTTAAGCCTGGTTACACTGTCAAAGATTCTGTGATCACAGCAGTAGGAATTTTGCATGCAGGGGTAAGAATTTTGAAAGATTTAATTTAAGTTCCAGTCAAACGAGAACAAGAGTTGTATGAGAATTGATGAAGGTAACTGGATACTACCAGTCGACAAATGAGCACAAATTCTCATCGAAATTCGATCAAGGCTTCACTGTATGATGCGTCATTTTTTCATTCAGGTTCTCAACAGTCGTTGGGTTTCCTCGTCACGTGATATTGTTGCGTTACGTCAGACGTTGAATAACCCAGAATCCTGTTTGGCCTTCAGAAAGTTCGTAGCGCTGAAAGGTGATACGTATGAGAGTGACGTGTTGTTTTGGATCGAGATACAGAAATACAAGGTAGGAGGCAAAATTAGAAAAGTATTAATTTTATAAAATTTAGCATTGAAAGGTTTTTTATTAATGTTGATTACACAGGGTGTGGTTTCCTAATTCACCAGAATCTGTGGCTAATAATCTGTGGCTGATAATCACCAGAATTAATCTGTGGCTAAGTGCTTGACAACTGACTGGCCTGTACACACGTAAAAATCTCACATCTTGTAG